ACACACCACATATGTATACATAAAGCTACGTATGTATGTATATATGTGTGTATGTGTATGTATATACATAGTGTATATATAATATATATAATACACACACAGAGACTACAGGAGACACACACACACATATATGTATATGGGTCTCCTGCAGAAGACAGAATTTAAGCTTTCTGTCTCATCAGCTAGAAAAAAAGAAGAAAGACTAATATGGTGGGAAAGCCAGACCCCAACCTCCATCAATCATTGTGCCAAACCTCAGAGGGCCACAGCCCTCACCCTAACTCACAATGGCCACGCCCCCCTAGAGACCAAACTTTCAGCCCAAAGAAAATTCAGGAAGTTTTAGTTCCCATACCTACTTAGCACTTGCACCTAAAATCTGCCTCTGGGAGTAAACAAATGTTTCCCTGGTCCCAAAATCTCTATGCAAAGATAGAGGTAGATTTCCTACACGTTTCCTCACCCAGTACTTTCCTAGCTATCACTTTGGAGACTTTAAAAGCTGATGGTCCTCAGTACTGAGGTTAGGACAATTGGACAAGTTAGCCAGCTCTCTCTAAGGCACTGGGGAGGGCAGTGGCCTCAGAGCTAGCTGCCACAGCTGAGTGAGGCTCCAGTGTTCAGTTGTACAATCTATTCAGACATGCAAGGCAGTCAGCTTTGGCCTGCTCAATAGTTTTTTTTGTCTGCTCTCCACACAACTGCACAGAGTCAGAGGGGAGGAATGGAAAATAAGTCCATGGCGCATGCATCCTTTATCTGAAAGACTTTGCTGCCTGAGAAATATACTGATTTTTTAAAAAAATATCCCATCCCTAATGCCCCTATTAGCAGGATCCAAACAACATCTCATTCTGTGCTCATTTTCACAAATGACTGCAGGAATTTTATCTTGGGTGTAATGCCTCTGCCTGGGTGGGAGCCAGGTTGGGTTCAGTTACTCCAGAAACACCAACATGAGAATCATGGCTTATACTTGTAAGTTCAACTATTACTTTGGGTATTATGATGATGATTATTATTTTGAACCCCAAAAGAGTCCTTCTGCTTTCTAATTCCCAAAGGCCCCTAGCTCACTGACACGGTGTCTCTCTCTCTCACACACACACACACACACACACACACACACACACACACACACACACACACAAAGTGTTTTCAGCTAGAGGAGAGACTGAAGTTTTGGAGTTCCACGGTCATTCAAGTTCCTGGAGGAAGACAATGCATTGTTATGTAGATTACATTGATGTTGTGGAAAAGGCCATTCATTTCTGAATAGACTGCCTGGCTTTACAAGTTCCAAGAGGGTCTACAGTAAAAGGCAACTTGCAGGCCCTGACAATCACATTTCCAACTAATTTTTTTTTTAATTGCTTTGAAGGCACAAAAAATGTCATCGTTTTACCGTTTTGATCAAATTTACTTGGGGAGAAAGGGTGGTGGTGAGGGGAAGTTTTGCCCAAAGTTAAGGAAACAAGTATTTCTAAAAGCACGTTGGCATAAATAACAACCTGTATTAAACTGCTTATCCCTTACAATAAGGGGCCAACAGCAGGAAGCTGTTTCAGGTCTGCACTCCAATCTTCCCTTCCCCCTCTTCAAACTGATGCACACAGCAACAGACTAGTCATCTGGGAGAACTCTGAAATTGTTATCCATCCTATTCTGGCAGGATGTTCAGAACAAGCACTGGAGCACACGAAACCCACTTGAATTAACACACCAGTGCAATCATCTTTAATGTGAAACAGCTGTTTGACAACTTTCAGGATTCTTAAGGCTTCATATCTGTACCCAAAAGCCCCAAACTCAGCGGTGAGTCACAGTAAGAGCCTAGTTAATAAAAGTCTACAGAGGAGATAAAAAAAAAATACAGCTGCTTTGGAAAAGAAGAAAATAACCAATTGCTAAATCTCCCTTACCTATTTTGGAAAAAGTGTCTGAATTGGAGTGGTTAAAAAAACAAAACAATTTGATTTATAAATTAATGTTCAAAGGTTGCTTTTTCTTTCTTTTAACCATTACTGCTTCACTTAATTGATGAACTGATCAACGTCATCAATTGCATGCTGATGGCTTTGGAGAAGTGGGGACCGTCTTCATAGCTACCAATTCCTTTCCTATAATTTGAGTGCTTTACTCCCAGAGGAAGCTATGTGGGCAAACAAACCCCACCCAGAGATAAGTTTAACTGGTTTAACCTTCCCTTAGGTTTCCCCCCTTCTTATTGTCCCCCTCCCCCAATCCCCACAATTCCTTACATCACTTTTGTTTCCAAAAGGTCCTGGCCCCAACATTCTACCTCCTATTGAAGGGTGAAGGTGGCTGGGGAGCCCCCAACTTGAAGTCTTGTCATCAGGCTGACAAAGGGATTCCCAGAAATTCCCATAATGCCAAATCCCTGAGGTCCTGGAGAGAGGCTGATTTACTAAATTGTGAACAGCTCTGAAAACCTCCAGTTTTTGTCACGTGGTGGCCTGAATCATAGGAAACCACACCCCCTTCCTTTCCTCCCCTCCTCCCAACTGCACCTTATCCATAGCAATGCAGGCACTAATTCCAAGCCACCTAATTCCTCTAGACTAACATTACCCAGATCTGGAAGGCCTGCCTTTTCTGGGGTATTTAAATTTTCTTTTTTGTAACGGGGAGGACGGATTAGGGAACAGGATAATTTAGTTCTTTTTTCTATGTATATAGTATCTTTCCTCAGGAGAAAGCTAGGAAAGCAATCTTCATAAACTTTTTACCAAGACTTCCATGTTAATTAAATGTAAGCACTTAATAAGCAGCTTTGCATCGACCAAAAACAAAGACCGGAGAATCTCCTCCCAGCCCCAAGAGGAAGCTAGTTGTTTGTATACGTTTAAGATAAAGAGATGCGGGTATGCATGGGCACTTAAGAACCTTCTGGAACCTACTTGGTTTTTAGCAGCTTCCCAATCACTTCTGAGGAATGGAGTTAATTTGCCAAGCCTAACTTAGTTGATCACAATTAAGACACTTCAGGTGGGGGGGAGGGGAAGAAATCACCACTTTATGGACACTGGCATTAAAATGATTTTTTTTCCAAAAATTTTATTGGGGGAAAACTACAAAACATTTACAGTACAAAGTTTACAGTCACAATTTGTAGTGAACTGGCCCCCCAAAATATATTACAACGCAAGTTGACTTACTCTTTAGTTATACATTCAAAAACATACTTCTGTTTAAGTAGTCCAAAGAAAGTACACAGGGCTCAGTTCTGTGCCTATGTACAAACAAGACTCAAGCTACTTATTCATTCATCCACCGTCCAGGAAAGTTTGGGTTGGGGGGAAGGGGGGAAGAGAGAGGGAGAACTCCTGACTTTCTACAAAGAAAAAAAAATTACAAGTTTTGGAATTGAAATAACAAACAGGCATGTTCATGTATGTACTACAATAAGGTCTCAGATCCAAGAGGTGGCCTCTGCGTATATTTAATAAAAAGTGGTAAAACTTTTCTATTTTTGTAGTTGAACCCATCCCTACATTCAAATTCTCTCAAGCATTAAAGAAAGAAAATACTTATTTGGTTGAGGAAGATTTAAGGCAAGTCCGGGCCTTACCAAAGGCACTGGGAGACTAATACTGGAGGCCCCTCAATTATTGCTACATTTTTTTTTTATACTCAAGGGTAACATCACAGTAGGATTGGTGGAATTAGGCAACAAAAATACTTTTGGTTGATTTGTAAAGCTGGAGTTAGGTAAAAGTCTGATACTTTGAAGTCTGATTGCAAAGTATGTGGTTCTTTTTTCTTTAAAAGTTGGACGGGCTACAATCTTTTTTTTTTTTAATACATTCTAAGAAATCTCAGAAAGATCTTCCTCAAACTACTTCCACAGCATCGAGATAGATTTCTATAAAGAAATCATGCAATCTTTAAATTTACGTAAACAAGAAAAGAAATTAATGAAATAAATATTACATACAATCTCTTAAATTAAGATTTAACTCATTTACAATAAAATAACCAAGTGAAGTTACAAAAGGCATATATTACTGTGAAAAGAACATACACTCCACATTTCGCCGATTAATAATGGCAATCATAATTTAAACATAATAAAAGAATATATATCTATTGCTTTTCATCATACCCGATAAATACAGTATGAACAAAATTCTCAATGTATACTTTTCACAAGATAATAAATAAGTTAAATAGTTTTTTTCATATTGAGTTGTGGTGCAGTGGTGCTAATCAACTCAAAACAGCTAAACAAAACAAAAATCAGCAGTTATTTCTCAACAATTATAAACTAAACTCGGTTTGAGTGCTTCCCAAGAAAGCAAAGGCAACATTTTTCTAAAAGAAATATCCACTATGTGGTGGTGATGGAACCGACTTTGGAATGGAAGGGTGGTGTTTTTAAGCACATTATATATAGCTATATATAAAACTACAGCACTGTCATCAAGGCATATTCTTGGCAGGTCGTTGGATTTTATAAGCTTATAGTTTAGTAATGTGGCTTTTTTTTTGTTTGTTTACACTGTATTCAAAGACAAATGACCATTAGAAACTTCTCCAAAGAGCAGGCAGTTCACACCTAAGTGCAGTGTGACTAATGCTTCAGAGTTAAGAGATGGAATGGTGGTAGCTGCTGGTGCTGGGTTATTCCCCCCCCCAAAGTTCAAAACTCATCCAAGGTCTAGAAAAATAAATGTTTGGTTATCGTTTGTTCTATTCCCGTTACATCTGCCCAGTTTTTTAAAACATAGATTCGTTTTGTTCATCCCAATACAAAAAGTTCGTTGGGCTTTTTTTTTGCTAAACGAGAATGCAACTTTATAATAAAAAATAAAAACCCCCAAACAAGAGGACCGAAAAGGGGGGGGGAGAGAAGGGGCAGCTCATGGAGCTGGGATCCCCCAAGTCCTCCTAGGGCTCTGCAGCCTGTTTTTTGCTGCTAAATGCCCAATCCCCTCGCTTCCCCCTCCTCACTTAGACCCATCTACCCTCAGGGCTGGGAAAAGGGATGAGAGGGGACGTCCCTGCAAGCCACCCAGCCCACCCTCCAACTCCCCCCCAAAAAACTTCCTCTTGTGGCTGCAGCTCTGCTCGCTTAGTCGTCGGAGATGGAGAGGCGGCTGAAGATGGGCAGGCGGCGGCCGGAGTCGAGGCTCGGGGACTCGGAGCCGCTGAGGCTTCCTGAGCTGAGGGAGCCGCTCAAATAGCTCTCCCGATCCGACAGCGAGTCCGGGGGGCTGGGGGGCGCATCGAACACGGGCGATTCGGACAGGCGGCGCAGGGGCTGGAAGCTGAAGGGGGGGGAGGCCGGGGCGGCGGCGGCCACGGCGGCGGCAGCTGCAGCAGCAGCAGCGGCGGCGGCGGCTGCAGCCGTCGGGTGGGGCGCGGTGGGCGGTTGCTGCTGCTGCTGCTGGCTGCGGTAATAGGCAGCGGCCACGGCGAAGTTGTGTGTGTGAATGGCTAGGGGCGTGATGAGGTTGCTGAGCTCCTGGCCCGAGAAGGGGGCAAAGGCGTTGTTGGCGCAGGCGGCGCACGGAGCAGGGGAGAGCAAGTCCTCGCCCCCGCCGCCCGCCCCATACAGCAGCGCCGCCGCCGCCGCAGCTGCAGCTGCAGTCGGGGAACAGCAGGAGGGGGCGGCGGCCGAGGAAGAGGACGAGGAGGACGCGGAGGAGGAGCAGGACGAGGAGGACGCGGAGGAGGAGCAGGACGACGAGGAGGAAGCGGCGGAGGAGGAGCAGGACGAGGCCGGTGGCGGGGTCCTCGACGTGGGACTCTCGAGGAGGGGCGACTCCAGGCCGCCTGGGTGCTGGTGGTGAGCCGAGGAGAAGCCCGAGAAGCTGAGACTGTGGTGCAGCTTGGGCCTCGACTCCCGAGGGTGCCCCGGGAAGCCCAAGTGCAGGGCTTCTCGGGGGCTGAAGGCGCGGAGGTCGCCCCCGCTGCCCCCGGCGCCCCCGGACGGCGAGGGGCGGCGCTCCTCGGCGTTGTGGATGAAGTGGCAGCGGGGCCCATAGGGGCAGAAGCCTATGGTGTGGAAGGTGCGGCACAGCTCCGTCTTGTATTTGGGGTGTCGGGTCAGGCTCCGCAGTTCGTGGAAGCCGTGGGCGAACTGACACTTCTCCCCATACTTGCAGGTGCCGCTCTCCTCGAAGGGGCGGCACAGCTCCGTCTTGTAGCGCGTGGAGTTGATCTGGGAGCCGCCCGACTTCTGCTGCTGCAGCTGCATGAGATGCTGGCTGCGTTCGCCGTTCTCGCTGAAGGAGCGGTCCCGGAATTTATTTTCCTTGTTGAGCAGGGCCGTGGTGCTGGCACTGCCACCTCCCCCCGACGGCTCCTTGAGGTTACTGTACGAGCCCGAGCCGCTCGAGCCGTTGCAGCTGTTGCCGCCAGTGAACTTGGGGGAGCAGTTGCCGGGACCCGTCGCCGGGTTCGGGGAAGGGTGGGCAAGGGCCTGCAGGTTGCTGGTGGAGTGCCTTCGGAGAAATCCCGGCGTGAAGCTTGAGGTGGGGGAGGTGGTCACGGGGGTCCCCACGGCCTTCTTGTCCAGCATACTGTTCAGATTGAGGTTGGTCAGGGATTTCTCCGTCTGCTAAAGGGAGGGGAGGAGGGGGAGATGAAAAAACGGGAGGAGGCATGGAAGAAGACAATTTCAGGGGAGTGGGGGGCACGGGGTAAGAGCAGGAAGAAGGGAGGGTTGTTGCAGAATAACTAAGAGACTTAATTAAGGTCTGTGGGTTTCTTCCCCCCCCCCCTTTCGGCTTATCGTTCCCACCCGTACAGAGACAAAATGAAAAAAGTTTGCATTGATTCTCCCTCCCCCACCTTGCCCACTCTTAGCTTCAAGCATGCTGCCCCATCACTGCAGCTCCATTTCCTTTCTCGTCCTTTTGCAAACCCACGGACACCCCTCCACCACCAATTCACGGGGGCAAAGGCGGAGGAGCAGCCGGGGCTGTGCAAACACTGCCCCTGTAAACACAAGACGAATAAACCCGGTCCCAGGCTAGGCTGAATACACAAGTCCTGGGAGCAGTTATGCCTCGCCTTCCTTCTCCGTCCCCGCCCCTCCTCCTCCCGGCAACTAAAACACTTTGCAAACTCCGAGAACTGACCCAACCGGGAAACCAAGGTGGGGTAGGATCACCACCCCCAACCTCTCCTCAAAAACAGTACGAGAAAAAGTTTCAAAACTGAAAAGGCTTTCTGGCTCCCTCCCTGCCCTCTAGCCTACCTTGCAAAAGAAGTCGATGTCATAGAAAGCAGACAAAAGTGTGGTCGACATGTTTCTAGGTCCTGTGATAGTCGCAGACGAAGGAGGAACCCAAGTACCCCGCTGTCCAGCAGGGCTTGGGATGAGCCACGACGGCTGGCGGGCGAAGGGTAAGGGTGGGTGAGAGGGGGAAGAGAAAGTTTGTAGAGAGTGGAGAGACTGGGTAACCGAGCCTAAGCTTTGGAGTTCTTTGGAGTCCGAGGTAAAAAAAAAATGTGCTTTTAAAAGCCTCTCCTCTTTTTTCCCTCTTCCCTCCCCCCGGCCCCCCAAAAACACCCACTTCTCCGGAGCTGAGGGCACAGCAAGCGGACTGCTGGAACTCCGTGCCCGGCGAGCCCTCGCCCTATATAGACGGCTGAGCGGGCCGGGGGAGGGGACAGAACGCTGACCCTGCCGGGGTCTCTAGGCAACACCACCCAGCCGGCTCCCACCGACGTCATGGGACTGCGAGTCCTCCCATAGGCTGCCGCCAATTTTCTTTCTATTTTTTTTTCGAGCCCGGAGGGCGGGGTAGTCGGAGGGGTGGCCTCCCCATAGCTGGGCGGGCCAGGGAAAGGGAGGGAGGATGGGGAGGCGGGCCGAGCGCCCAGCCGCTGGGGAGAAGCTGAGCCTTCTGAGCCATGTGGGGTATAGTACGTTTCGGCTCTCCAGCTCCTGGGCCTCGTGCGTTGTTGAGCCCGGGGACTTTTAAACGTGGCTCAGGGTGAGCAGCCTTGGAGGCTGCTCACACCCCCGGGGACTGGGTTATTCACTCCCTGTCCTCCACACTAATACTAGAGCTACCAATGGCCGGGAGGAGGAGTTGCAACATGCTAGAATATTGCAACCTTTCATGTTACCCTTGCCTACTTTGCAAAGGACAGGGAACGGAACGGTTAGGAATGGGGGGAGGGGCACACAGGGACTGCAGCATGTCTCAACCCCCAAACGAAGGCTTGGAAACTTGAGGTCCCGGCTCCGCAGCCCCTCAGTGAGGAAGTGCTGCGATCTAACACGTGGAGGCGGCGGCAGGGGCTTCCTCCAGGCCCTGAGGGAAGTGCGCCTGCTCCGAGGGGTGGAGAGGGCGTGGGGCTGGGTAGGACTGGAAAAGCCCGGGTCCTCCAGGCTCCGCCCTGCACCCCCAGCCGGGGCCTGCAGTAAACAGGGTCCAAGCGGGCCGGGGCGGGGCTGTGTGTCAGAGGACAAGGAGCTGGCTTGCTAATCACATCACAAGACCTTGAGCCGGGGCCAAAGGCGCTGTGAGTGGCGCGGGCCGTCCCGGGCGGGGGAGCCCGAGCCGAGGCCGGGGTGAGGTGGGGGGGCAGGTCTGTGGGGACAGTGGCTCCTCTCCTCCTCTTCTCAAGCCTTTTCGGGCCAGGGGAGAAGTGGATACTGGCCGCCTCTGCTTGACGCGCTCCCAGCTTCCCAGATTCCTGTGCTTGCAACCCTCTTGTTGTCTGGGATCCCGGGGAAATAGACCACGGTATCAGTCTCACGCGCACCCACTTGCCACGTCCGCCTTGCGCCAGCCTGAGCTGGGGTGGCAAAATCAGGGGGAGCCCAAAGCTTTGCCGTCAGGGCCCCTTTTCCTGGGGAGACAGCCCCCTCTAGCGCTTCTCCCGGCTACAGCTGGGGAGCCTTTTACTCCCCAGCTTCCTTTCCGGGGTTCACTCTGTCAGGTGTTCCCAATCAGGGTCTGGGGTGGGGATGCCCCTTCCACGAGCGCTAGGTTTGTCAAAACACGCCGGCGAAGCCGGGGCTCTGAGCCCGCGGCAGCCGGGTCAAAGGCGACTGCCCGTTTAGGGCCCTGTGGAACGGAGTGGAGTCCCTGGATTGTCGGCTTTGCTTTGGTTAAGGTCGCGTGGCCCCTCCCGGGGGCAAGTTACGGCGCGGCAGAGACTGGTGCCAAGACAGTTGTGGTGGCTCTCCGTTCCCCTGCCATCTTCACCTCCCTCCTTTCCTTCCTCCCAGTCACTTTAGTAAGTGAGCATTTATTTTAAGGCTTGCTAAGTGCCCAGCAGGAGGTTGGGTCTATCACACCAAGCCTGCCCTGGCATTAGTCAGAGGTAGCCCAAGGCTGTAAGTGGGGCGTGGAGAAGAGAGCATGAAGTCTGTGATACTAGTTATGATCTTGGGCAAGTCATTGCGCTTAATCCCGGCCTCCTTAATTTGTTAAATGAAGTTGTACGGGATGATCTCTGAGATTTCCTCGAGTTCTAATCCTGTGAGTCTCAAAGCTCTGGTGGGTGGGTGCCGGTGGAGAGGACACGACTTTACAGACTTTTCGAACTGAAAGAGATCTTTAAAATCAAGACCGAGTACTTTATTTTACAGATTAATGACCATGTCCCAGAATGGCCCCAGTGGAAGTCTTCAGACCAAATCCAATTTTCTTTCCACCAAAAGGACACTAGTTGTGGACACGAACCACAGGCTGGAAGCAGATGGGCTTGTGAATAATAATAATAATAATAATAATAATAATAATTCTCTGTCAAAGTCCTGTTCATGCAAAGAGGTGACCCAGGGTTCTCAAAGGCTGTGCTAGTGGAGTGCCAGCTTTGGTCGGCCAAGCTGGAAAGTCTCAGTGTCCAGGGTGGAGTCAGATTGCTCACTTTTTGTCTAAGAACCATCCTAGCTAGGTTGGAAAAGGCTTACCAGGTTATCTTCAGGTGAATATTTTTCATTCAGCCATCAAAACCCTGAGGAGGGTTGGGACTAGAATCCAAGTCTCGGGGTTGTCTCCATTATGTTGTGCTGCCTTTTTGTGTCTCAAAAAAACAAACTCCAAGGGCCAGTCTTGGGAATCAGAAGACCTTGGTTCTAGTCCTGACTCTGACTTGAACTAGCTTTGTGACCATGGGCAAGTCATTGACTCAGTCATCTCCCTAAGCCTTTAAGATACATAGGAGTTCTTGATTTGATAAGTGTCCCTGGACATCACAGGTTCCCCCCCCCCATGCTGTTAAATATTCAACTTTTACTCTCCAGCAAAGGAAATGAGCATCTCAAACACTTTCATTCCCACAGATGCCTCTCAGACCTTGACAAACCATTAAAATAACTTTAATTGATCTCTTAAGAAGACATTATTAAACATGTATTTGCCAGATGTTAATGAAGTATCTATGCATTTTCACACACAGACTAAAAAGTGGCTTTCTTGGATGGCTTGAACTGAAGAGTGAACCTGGTTGCTGTTAAAACACATCCTGGATTGCTTAATATTGAAATAACTGATTCTGTGACTCTTCTGAAGTTGTAAATTAAAGGGAAAAAAGAGACTAGAAACTTTGCCCTATTTCAGAGTTCTCTAGCAAAAGCCATGTGAGGGTGCCACCTCCTGGGTGTTCTGGGAGGCATCAGGAAATTCTTAGAAGTCTCTAGTTTACAGCATTCACATGGATGGTTTGGGGAGGGAAGTGTGAGTGTGTGTGTTTCTTAAGGCAGTAATCATTCTCTAAGCCAGGACCTTCTTCCCCCAAGACCCTTTCTAAGAGCTTGGGGGACTGCTGCTAGTTTCTTTGCAGGCTACAATCAGACTTCTCTATGACTGCTTTTGATCAAACACCTTGGGAGGTGGGGGGAGACTAAGGAGGAATACCATAAGGCTCTTTTAATGACTTGGGACAAAATACAGTTTTTAAATTACAGGTCACTGCAGGTCTCCAACACAATCAAATTATCTGTATGAAGTTGCTCTTTAATTCACTCACATTTTAAAAAATGGAAACATTTGGAATGTATTTCCTTTTTTACTAAAATGAATAAAATTTAGAATCTGATCAAAGAATCTGAATTAGTTTTTTTCCCCCTCCCCTTTTATATTACGTTAAAAACATGAGAGCTGAAGGGGAATGCAGACAGGGTTAAGCTAGAGTAGGGAAAAACACAGCTAATTCAGGCCTGCAGGTGGCCTGCACCTGGGAGGAAGGTAAATCTCACGTTTAAGGGCTCCACCTCCAACGGTAGCTGCAATAAACTTGGCTGGCTTGCAAGAACTGAGTCAATGTATTAAGAAGAAAGATCCTTCTGTAAGAAGGGACAGTTGGTCCCCCTCGTTGGAGCAGAGGGAGCACAGTGAACAAAAGGATTTTTAATTTAGGTTAACATTTCCAGTGTATTCAGTGCAGGAAGATAATTCCCCAACTCTGCAACACATCCCTTTCCCACATCACTCCGTAGATTTAGGCTTTGTTCTCTGTAGAATTAAATGACAAGACATAAGGTAAGCTCAATAGCCCAGGTGTGGGGTCCTCCTCCTTCCCTTCAAGAAAGTCAAGCAACTTCAGGCAAGCTAATGTTCTTTCCTTCTGGATGTACAGTCTTGTATGGTCAGCAGTCTTAGAAAATTCAGGAGTTGGTGGCAGCTGTTTGGATAGCTGTGATAGGTGCTGGTACTGCTGGGATGCTGTTTTTCTCAGCCGACTGAGCTCCTGGGGATCCTGGGAAGGCCAACTTTTCTTACAGAGAGGAGACAAGTGCTTGACCAGGTGGCTGATGTAGGTTAGCGTCTCGGCCCAAAAGTTCACTTCCTCTTTGTCAAACACAAAGTCATCTTCTACCTGGACAGTAAGAACAAATAAGCAAGGTGAGAAATAATAGTATTAAGCAGACCTATCTCTGGCACAGCCCAGAAAGACACAGAGCAACCCCCCCCCCCCCCGCCAAACACAGTTCCTCAGGGACAACATATGCTGGGGAAAAACATGAAATTTGAAATCAGGAGAGTCTTGGGCTTCTATAGCCAACCTATAGTGCAGGACACTTCAGTGCTCTGAAAATGGGGCTAATCATAGAATCTGAGAGTGGGAAGGGGCTCAAGAAGCCACTCAGTCCAATCTATACAGGAATCCTACTCAGATTTAGCTCCTTGAGGGCAGGGACTGTTTCCCCTACCCCCCCCCACCCCTTTTGTATCTCCAGCACTTAGCACAGTGCCTGGCACATAGTAGGTGCTTAATGTTTGTGGACTGATTGATTTAGACCTAGAAGAGACCTTAGGACTTTAGTCATCTAGTCCAAACCTCACTTCACAGCTGAGGACACTGAGGCTCAGGAAAGATGAATCGACAAACCCAAAGTTACACAGCTAGCAACCCAACTGGCAAAACTGGCTGAACCCGGGTCACAGGATCCTAGGTGGACATCCTGGATGTCATCTGGACTAACACCCTCATGTTACACATGAGGAATTTGGAGTCTAGAAAAGTTAAGTGACTTGTCCAAGGTCACACAGGTAGTTGAGTGGCACAGCAGGGATTTGAACCTCTGACTCCAGACCCTGAATTCTTACATTACCTCCGCCTCTGACTCTAAATCCAGTGCTCCTTCCTCTATACCACAAGGGGTCTTCCAGAA